CAGGATGGTCTCGATCTCCTGACCTTGTGATCCACCTGCCTCGCCCTCCCAGAGTGCTGGGATTACAAGCGTGAGCCACCGTGCCTGGCCAATTATTATATTTTTTAAAAGCTGCCTTAAAATTATTAACTTAGAGGTGCTCCTATGTATTTCTAAGAGCTTTATTGAGATATAATTCCATAAAACAAACTGCACATATTCAAAGTATACAATTTAAATTTTGACATATGTCTAACATGTGAAAACACCACCACAATAATAATCATATATATTATTCCCAAATATGTCCTTATCCACTTTGTAATCTCATCCTCCCCATTCCACACTGACCCCAGGTAACCACTTATCTACTTTTTGTTACTATTCATCAGTTTGCGTTTCCAGAAATGTATATTACTGGACATACAGCATGTACTTTTTGTCTGAGTTATTTAACTCACCATTTTCAGATTTGGCAATTTGTGTCTTTTAAGCAATTTGCCCATTTCATGAAGTTGTAGAATTTATAGGCAGAAAGTCTTCATAATGTTTGTCTACTATCCTTTTAATATCCTTAAAATTTGGAGTGATATATTCTCACTCCTTTTTTTGGTTCAATATTGAAATGATGTCTGATCTTACTCTTGATGTTGATAATTTGAGTGTTCCTTTTCTTCTTTAATTAGAGGTTTACTAATTTTATTGATCCTCCCAAAAATTCAACCTTTTTGTTTTATTGATTTTCTCTATTGTTTGTTTTCTGTCTTATTTCTACTCTAATCTTTATTCTTGTTTCTATTTTGAACTTAATTTTCTCTCTTTTTTCTAGTTTCTTAAGATGAAAATGGAAGTCTTTGGTTTGGGAAATTTCTTTTTTTCTAATACAGGTGTTAATTGCTATAAATTTCCTAAGTATAGTGTTAGTGTTATCCCATGAATTTTGATGTTTGACACTTAAATTCAAAGTACTTTCTGATTTCCTTTTTAATTTCTTCTTTGACACAGGAGTTATTTAGAAATGAGTTATTTAGTTTTCAAATATGTTGAGATTTTTCAAAAATATTTCTTTTATTGATCTCTAATTCCTTTGTGGTCAGAGCACATACTTTATAGAACATTAATTCTTTTAAATTTATTGAGATGTGTTTTATGATCCAGAATATGGTCTATATTGGTAACTGCTTTCTGTGTACTTGAAAATAATATGTACTCTGCTGTTGGTGGTGGAGTGTTCCATAAATGTCAATTATGTCGAGGTAGTTGATCATATAATTTAAATCATCTATATCCTTAATGATTTCCTGTCTAGTTGTTCTCTCTATTGAGAAAGATATTGAAAATTCTGACTATAATTGTGTAATTGTGTGTTTCTCCTATCAATTCCACTGGTTTTTGCTTCAGGTATTTTGAAGCTCCGATATTAGTTGCATAAATGCTTCGGATTATTACATCTTCTTGATTAATTGATGCCTTAATTATTATGTAATACCTTTCTTTATCCCTGGCAATATTCATTGCTCTGAAATCCGCTACATCTGATATTAATATATCCACAGCAGCTTTCTTTTGACTTGTGTTGTCATAGTGTATCTTTTCCGATTCTCTTCCTTTAAACTAATTGTGTCCTTATATTTGAATTGCATTTCTTGTAAGCAGCATATTATTTGGCCTTTTCATTTTATTCAGTCTGACAATTTCTGCCTTTTAATTTCCTTACTTATACAAGTTACAATACAATAAGAGATTTAAGTAGTACACCTTTTACAGTTGTACCTCAATATCAGCAGAAGATTGGTTCCAGGCCTCCTCATTCACCGCTTGCAAATGCCCCATTCACCCCTTGCAAATACCAAAATCCTTAGATGTTCAAGTCTCTTTCATAAAATAACATAGTGTTTGCGTATAACCTTTATATGTCTTCCTGTATACCTTAAATTATCCCTAGACTACTTATAGTACCCAATTAAATGTAAATGCTATGTAAATAATTGTACTGTATTTTTATTTGTATTTAATTTTGTGTTGTTATTTTTATCGATTTTTTAAAGTATTTTTAATCCATTATTGGTTCAATCCACAGATGCACAACCCCTAGATACAAAGGGCCAGCCATATTTATCCCTGCAGTTACTATTTCTAGCTCTCTCTCTTCATCTGTTTTTGTACATCCATATTTTGACCTGGCATCATTTTCCTTCAGCCTGAAGGATTTCCTTTAACATTTCTTATAATGTAAGTCTATTGGTGATGAATTCAACTTTTGAAAACTTTTTGTATAACCTTCATTTTTGAATAGGTATAGAATTCTAGAATTCATTTTTACTGGGTATAGAATTCTAGGATTACAGTTTTTGCTTCATTTTCAATACTTTAAAGAAGTTACTCCACTGGCATCTCATTTGCATGGTAACAATAAGACATATGCTATCTTTCTTATTTTCTCTGTGCATGTCTTTTTTTACTGATTGCTTTTACGATTATCTCATTATCACTACTTTTGAACTATGTGGCTATGATATGCCTTGGTTGTTGCAATGGTTTGAAGGTGTCACCAAAACTCGTGTGTTGGAAACTTAATTGGATTCCCAATGCCAGAGTGTTGGGAAGTGGGGCCAAATAAGGGGTAATTGGGTCATGAGGGCTCCACCCTCATGAAGGGTGTTATCATTGGAGTGGGGTAGCTGTAGAGGAGGTGACTTTGTTATAATAGCAAAACCTCCTTCATATGGGCTCTCTTGACCTTCCACCTTTTCCCCTTCTGGCATGGAATTACACTCAGCAGATGCCAAAGCCATGCTCTTGGACTTCTCAGCCTCCAGAACTGTAAACCAAATAAACTTATTTTCTTTGTAAATTACACAATCTGTGACATTCTATTACAGCAGCACAAAACAGACTAACTTGTTTTTCTCATGTTTCTTGTCCTTGAAATTTTTGAGATTCTTGGATCTTGGGGTTATAGTTTTCATTACAAAAGAGAATTTTTTTAGCCATTATTTCTTCAAATTTTCTTCTTTCCTGTTCTTCTCTCCAGTTTCATATATATTAGATTCTTGAAGCTATTTCACTATTCTCTGATACCCTGTTCATTGTTTAAATTCTCTTTTTTATTTCTCCTTTTATAACCCTTTTACTGAGATAATTTACATACCATAAAATTCACTCTTTAAAATATACAATTAAATAGCTTTTAGTACATTCACAAATTATGCAAACAAACATCACCATTATTTCTAATTCCAGAACATTTTCATCACACCAATAAGAAAACTCATACCCATTAGCAGTCACTCCCAGACCCCCAAAGCCACTGGCAATCATTAGTCTACTTTCTATCTCTATTGATTTGCCTATTCTGGATATTTTATAAAAATGGAACTGTATAATATGTGGCCTTTGTGCCTTATTTCCTTCACTTAGCATAATGTTTTCAAGGTATACTCTTGTAGCATGTATCAGTACTTCATTTCTTTTTATTGTTGAGTAATCCAATGTATGAATATGTAATTTTTGTTTATCCTTTCATCAGTTGATAGACATTTGGATTGTTTCTACTTTTGACTATCATAAATAATGCTGCCATTAACATTTGTGTACAAGCTTTTGTGTGCACATATATTTTCATTTCTCTTGGGTAGAAATCTAACAGTAGAATTTCTGGGTCATATGGTAACTCCGTGTTTTTTTAACCTTTTGAGGAAGTGCCAAGCTATTTTCCAAAGCAGCTGGACTATTTGACATTTCCACCAGCAGGGTAGGATGGTTCCAGTTTCTCCACATCCTTGCTAACACTTGTTATTATCTGTCTTTTTCTTATTATAGCCAACCTATTTGGTGTGAAGTAATATCTAATTGTGGCTATGATTTATGCGATCTTAGTTGTTAATGATCTTTAGCATGTTTCTATGTGCTTATTTCCTGTTTGCATATCTTCTTGGAAGAAAAGTCTATTCCAATCCTTTGTCCAGTTTTTAAAAATTTGGTTTTCTTTTTAATAAGTAATAGTTCTTTATAAATTTTGGATGCCAGTCTCTATCAGATATATGACCTGCAAACCTGTTCTGTGGTTTCTATTTTCACTTTCTTGGTAGTATCCTTTGGAGTATGAAAGTTTTTACTTTTAATGAGATTATTTAGAGTCAATGAACATATTAATATGCATCCAATCTCATTCTAGATTAAAGATAAAGAGAAATAAGATTTTTGTAACTTAGAAGATTGGCAAAGACGAAAATAAGAAAAATTAAATTTATCATTAGCAAAGATGTGAGCACTCTCATAAACTCCTGGTGGGGTTTTAAATTGAACAAGTTTTCCAGAGACTATTTGGCAATGTATCTCAAAATCCCTAAAAACCAAAAACAAAACAAAACAAAAAATCTCTCTATCCTTTGACCCAAGAATTCCACTTTTAGAAATGTATCCCAAAGAAAAAGTTGAACAACTTTGCAAAAATTGATTTTATTACTGGAATGTTTATATAACAAGATATTAGGTGAGTAAAGTCTAACAATAGGAGATCGGTTAAATATATTCTGGTAAGCCATACAATAAGATACTATGTAATTATTATAAATGATCATTAAATTTTAAAAAATTTTTTTAAAGACAAAGTCTTACTTTGTTTCCCAGGCTAGTCTCAATTCCTGGCCTCAAGCAATTCTCTCATTTTGCCTCTCAATAAATGATAATTTTCATCAAGTTTCACCACCTATCATGTCCACAGGGTCCAGATGTAACACAAATGAATGAAAAGACTCTCTAGAAAATTGGACAGCATATGCCCCTTTTGGAGAGGGCAGTTTCAATTAATTGATGCCAAGCAAGAAAGTATATGTGTGGTGGTTGTGAGGTGGGGAGTGGGAGGTGTCCTCTGTTGTTAGATTATCCAGTATTTTAAAACACGCAGGACATTGAATTGTACGTAACATTTTCTGAATTTCAAAAGCTGTCTATTGCTTAAACATTTTTTTTTAATGTTCAATGACCAAATAAAACACATCGTTTTTGGACTAGATTCAGTTCAAAGGCTTGGAACTCTAATGTAAATACACATTTATTGACATAGAAAGATATCCATAACACATTGTTAAAATTTTAAACACCCTGCTACAAACAGTTTATATAATATCTCAATTTTGTTAAAATAAAAGCATATTTACATGTATGTATAAACTCTAAACAGTGTCTAAACGGATATAAATCAAAATGTTAATAGTGGGTAATTTTGCTTTTCTGTTGTATATAGTTCTCTATTTTTGTATTTTTATATTGACCATTGATATTTTATATTCAGAAAATAAATGATACAGCTCTTTGTATCTGTAGTTATAAAGGTAAGAGTTAATAGTCTGGTTTAAAATGTTGAGAATAAATTTAAAATCAAAATCACTAAGTATATAATCTTGCACATGAAATCAGACAGACCCGAGTTCAAAATCAGTTATTCCATTTATACCTCAATGGCCTTGGGCTTTCTCACCTGTAAAATGCCAGTGATAATACCTGTCATCACCACCTCAGATCCCATTGGTGATGTAAATATGAATAAATAAAAATAGAATTAATATCTAAAACACTACGTTCCTAGCATCACCAAATCTAAGTAGATAGAAGAGAGAAGGGGGCTTTTTCTACCACAGTTCAAGTCTAGAAAGGAGGCAGATGCTCCTCATAGAATGTAACAATGTCATGGAGGCATAATACACACACAAAAACGTTGTTTGTTTTTGCTATTCTATCTGGAGACAGCAACATCACAGGAGGCTAGACTTTTCCCTTGCCACTGCTCCACTCCCAGAATCCAAAGCTCCTCCTTGCTCCACATCTCACTCCTCATCTAGCAAGGACATCCAGTGGAATGAAGCAGAGTATGGCTGACGACCCACTGCCAGCAGTAGCATCAGATGAGGCAGAATCCATGTTATGTTTTCGAGAAGTGTTGGGTAGGTCCTAAGTGTGAGTAGAGCTCTAGGACAAATAAAATAAACTAGGGAAGCTACTTCCAAGGATTGGATTTGACTCTGGAGTAAATAAATGTATAAATATCGTTTGAGCATTTGCCATCCTTTATCTTCTCTTCCCACCTAACCGTATATCCAGTAAAGACATGGATTTACCAAATGGAATTCAAGTAGATGAAGAGGTACACTAGTAAAATCAACCAATCAGCTGATGTGAGGTGGGTTTTGTTTCTGTCTTTAGAACCTCTTTTTCACCGCAAAGGGCTTAAGAACTGCATTCCACTATTCCTCCCACCAGCAAGTTAAATATAATAGAGGGTAAAGAAATTTTTTCAGGTCATTGTAGTATCATTGGAAACTTGCCTTCAAATGACTTCAGGTACCTCCTCCTCGAGTGCCCAGTTTTAAACCCAGGGAATAATTTCATCATATCTGGTCCATGGAAATAGCAAACTCTTTAAGATATTTTTGATGTAGTAACTCATTTTCATTAGCTTTGCTTTTTCAATTTGCAATAAAAGAAAACAATAAGTGTTTTTATCATATCTTTACTCTTTCAGTAATGTGCAACATGAACGTAATAGTGTTAAGAAGTCAGAAATAACTTAACACAGAAGCTATAGGAGATGTTTATATTTGCAAAATTTCAACAATTATCTTCTCTAGGTTTCCCCAAATTAGCATATTTGTTAATCAAATTAATTAAGAAGCTTTTCAAAATAAAAGCAATGTTTTAAATAAATATATTCTTTCATAACCATAGAACATCTAGTTCTGTTGGAGGTAACAAACATTACACTCAAGTACTTTATGAAGACATTAGGGTAAAAATTATCTAGATGCGATTATAAATGTACCCTAATTTGTCATTTCTTTTTGCACATATGCTTTTCTGTGTGTGTTAGGGTTATATCATAGATATTTGGTAAATGGTTAGTTCTTCAATTATCACAAAGATATTATCTGACCCACAGAATTTATATCAGCTCAATGTGATGACATGATATTCTTTGAACAATATCTTTAAATTTAAATTTAGTACCCTAAATTACAAACAAATAAAGCCAAGACCTCTAAGCTGCCATATCTGTTACAGAAAATGAGTGCTAGACTCTCAGTTTGGAAGAATGAGACCTTCCTACAAATCTTGAAATTATACAACAATATTATTGTCACATCAAAATCCTAATTGCAACAGAGCTTTCAGTGTGTTTCAGAGTACCACACAGGTAGGTATAAATTCACCTATGATCAGCTTTTCTAGTGAAATAATATGCTTAGTAAATGACTACAGAAAACTTCCTAAAATTTGATTTTATTTAATAAATATTTTTTAAAGTTTTCTAACTGAAGAAATGACTTTGCTAATCTTTCTAGAAATTCTGATCATCTGTTTAATCTTTCAATCACTTTTATTTCTACTCTGATTCTTAGGAATTTTTCTAATCTATATTTAATCTACCAAAACATCTATGCTTTGATAAATTTGGCTTCCTTCAATAATAAACTATGCTATGATCACTAAATTAAATGTCAAAGGCAGAGAAGTAAAATTAAACACAGCGACAGGTTACAGTAAGTGCTCTTCAGAATTTCAGATGAACACAATTGTCCCAAAATGATCAAGGAATAACTCACTAAATGAATAATGCAACATGGAATACATTGTAACAGAATTTCTCTCTCTCTCTCTCTCTGCCACACACACCCACACACACACACACACACACACACACACACACACACCCTCTTCCACAGGCATCCACACAGGGGTGTTGACACTTGTCTCAGAATTTAAAATACTGATACTAAAGGCTTTAATTTAGATAAATTAACTACACTAAACTACTGACATTGTGAAAATATCTATATCCAATACCCCATAGAGGGCATGATTTTGTGAACTTCTAAAACATTTAAAAAAAGAAAACAAGAATGAGAAACCAGAGTCCTTGATAAGATGGGTGAACGTGTCAATAATGCCCAGTCACAGCTTCCCATTCTCCTCACTGCTTTCCTTCTCCTCTATGGCTTCCAGGCTGCGCTTGCTCTTGGCCTCAGCACTGCTGCTGGGGGCTTTACTCAGTCCACAGGACAAGCATGCCAGCTGGATCTGCTTCATGTTTTCTAAAGCTTCATTCTTGGCATTCTTCAACAGATCTCCTTGGCCCTACAAACAGAAAAAAATAGGTATGAAAGAAGACAGTTATGGGCCAGGAATGTGCTGAGTGACATCACTCTGTGTCCTTACTGCCCATTGCTGAATAAGGAAACAGACCCAGACCTACAAGCTCACTTTTCCAGGGTTTAACCCAAGGTTCTTTTCTAACATTATTAAGTGACTTTGCTTGTTAAGCCAAGTACCTCAACCTGAGCCTGACCAACTGGCTATGTGGTTGCTGGCAGTCTGTTGAGATTCTTGTTGTGAGGAACCCTCCTCTTTATGTGCTGAGGACATCAACTCTTCCATCACCATATGGTGTGAGACTCTGCACACTGCTGCAATACCTACCCCACCCAGATCCAGCATTCCTAGTCTCGGGAGAAAACAAGGAAAGAAGCTCTTCCTTAAAGAAGTGAAAATTAAATCTCCCCCTCTGTACAAGAGCTTACAAAGCAAAGTGTCTTCTGTAAAGTCACATACCCTTATGCTTGGTGAGCTGGTTTTTAATATATTGGGTCATCCTTGCAATCTGCCTGTTGTTAAATTATTAGTTACCCACATTACTTCTGCCTTTCCCGTCATCCTGAAGACGATGTTCCCACCTGGCAGATGGAGAAGAAGAATCTACAGAAGCTCAACATGTTAATCAAAACAAAAAGGAAATGAAGATTACAGGAACACATTAGCTGTCATTTACATCAGTGCCCAACAGAGCTCTTTTCCTGCTATTTTTATTTCTTATTTTACTTCATTGTTACAATGGTAAAGTGCATATGCTGGTACTGGCCCAACGGCTGAAGGACTGAGTGTGGGGGAGCGGGGACAGGTGTCTACGGTGCATAGACAGAGGAGGAAGTAGCTTCTTCCCTCTCCTCTCCATTCTCACGGCAGTGCCTGAAAGTGTGACCTTGAAAGTAAAGGATAATATGGAGGATGTGGGGTTATGACGATTGCTGGAGCATTATTCTACAAAGCAGAGGGTCAGAGAAAGGATAATTCACCTATTTTATGAAAGGCCATTCTATATTTTTAATTTGATAAATGTTTTTTCCTTAGGATGTACGAAGAAACTTGTATTTTACAAAAGCTTGGAATATTTTATTTCTCAAAACCTAAACGTGCACCTGCCAATTCTATCCTTTGTAAAAAAAAAAAAAAAAAAAAAAGAAAGAAAGAAAGAAAAGAAAAACGACCAACGGAAAAAAAAAAAAAAAAAAAAAAAGCTAAATCCTTCTAATAGCAGCTTTTAATTACATGGGATGATTAAATAGTTGGGCTTTGCCTGATGTTTGTGTTAAAGTGGACTTCTTCTCAAGTACATCAGTTATGGTATGGGATTTTGAAAGAAGAGTTGGAGGTGGATAGTTCTGCCTTCTCATGAGGAGAAATGAAGCTGAGCCTGATAAGGTTAATTGACTGGCCCAAGGTCACAGCTGGTTAATAGCAGAGCTGGGACTAAAGTTCAGGCCTTCAGCCTCCTGGATCAGTGCTCTATTCCCCACACCATGTTCACAATCTAGTCTGAGACTAAAGACTAGAGATTAGAGCCTAAAGACTCTGTCAGTGAGAGATATATTTTCTAAAGAAAAAACATCCACTATACCAGCAGACTTTGGGAAGTCTGTTCTTAAACAGGTTAGACATCATGAATGAGTCTGCTCAACAAACCTGCACATTCTGCACATGTATCCCAGAACATAAAGTTAAAAAACAATAAGTGAAGTCACATCCACTTTGAAAAGTGCAACTCTTCAGCAATAATAATAACAGACCAACATATGAAGCACTTGCTCGGTGTGGTCACTCTTTGTGCTTTATATATGTGCATTCAATCATTCATTACAACATCCCTATGAGATAGGTACTTTCATTATTCTCAATTTACTGATTAAAAAAACTGAGGCCCAGAGCACAATCACCCTTCCCAAAGTCACACAGTTGCTAAGTGGTAGAGCTGGAGCTTAAAGTCCAGCAGCTGGCTCCAGGGTCTGTGGTTTTAACCACTACCTGATAGGCATCTTTTAACAGCAAAGCAGGCACTCTCTGCAACGCACCCTAAAGACTCCTATTCATTGTTACCCATGGAAGCAATGCAGATAAAAAGAAAAGTATTGCCCATGTGACACAGCCTGACACAACTTAGAGATAGCATCCGGAATCAGGAGACAGGGCAGAGCAAGAACACACTGGCGGGGACAAGGGTCAGAGCATCTTCCACCAATTTTTATCTGGGCCATTTTCTCTTCTGCAAAAATGATGAAAATATCCTTCAGCCTTCCTCACAGTTCTAAGATTAAAGACAATATGTTGAAGGGCTCTTTATGATTTAAATGATCATAAGTATAGGAATCACAATGCTATAAGGTGATTTGGAAAGTGGTTAACATTATCTGCTACTATATATAATAAGTATCTTGGTACTATCTATATTTTATTAAGAATTTGACTAATATTTAAAATGCATCTACTGGAGTCTGTTTTACAGAGATATGTATAATGTATATGTACTACTATTTTTACAAATGGAAAGATTCCTTTAAAAATAATCTATTAGTAATGAGATTATATCCTCCTTCATTTTCAGAGTATTACTTTTAAGTGTTTCCTTTTCATTTAGTTTTGAAAGTTTCATCAAGCATTTTAAAAGCATAGCAGTAGAAAAACTGGCAACTTTCCTAATTGCAAGAGAACAGTGAAACATGCAAAACCATCATTTTATCCTACTAATGCATAAAGTTCTCACATCCCCTTTTCCCACAACATTGCATGAAACATATTTTAATAACCCAGAATGTTGTCTCATTGGTTCTATGAGGTGGCATCCAAATGCCAGACTGTGCCATTTCTGGTAAATAGAAGTCAGTCTCTGTAGAAAACAATGGCCAATGGGAGAAAACAGTTTGTACCAGGGCATAACTAACACAGCTACATCATCTCCTGATAACCCTGGAGACAACACACACTGGCTGTCCCATACAGGCAGAAAAAAGTCATTAAACTATTAACTACTAAAAGAAGCAAACATGAAAGGCTGTGTTGTGAAGAGTGTACATTGAAACACCGATATAAACTTTTGTTTTCTCTTTTTTTGTGAAGGAGAAATAGCAGTCATCTTTCTGTTCTGTGGTTCAAGGAATCACAACCTGCATCTCTTCTTTGGATCTTCCTAATCAAGGCACCAGAACCAGAAAAGACACATTCTGGTGAAAATCGTAGAGAGGGCGAATTTGATTGTTAACAACCACCACCCTGGCATTTTCCTTTGGCATGCTGGCTTTTTTCCCATTTTATACGCAGCAACTTTCCCTAATCATCTAGCAATCTCTTTCTCTCTACTCTGTCACAAACACCCCCAAACTTCTCTTAACCAGCCAGCTTATACCAGATCTCCCTCTAAACATCTTTGTCCTGTATATCATTTCCTCCAAAATGTATTAGGTACGGCAGGTATCCCCAGCCCTGGGCATGGACTGATACCAGCCCCTGTGACCTGTGAGGAAACAGGCTGCACAGCAGGAGGTGAGCGGTGGGTGAGTGAGCATTTCTGCCTGAGCTCCACCTCCTGTCACATCAGCGGAGACATCAGATTCTCATAGGAGTGTGAACCCTATTGTGAACTGCACCTGCAAGGGATCTAGGTTGTGTGTTCCTTATGAGAATCTAATGCCTGGTGATCCGAGGTTGATCCAGTTTCATCCCCAAACCATCCCCCGACACGCCCCACGATATTCAGGTCAGCCAAGCCATGTAAAGGTATTTGTCTGTAGTATATATTTAAAAAATAATCTAACAAGTCACTCTTAAGAAAGTGTTTTAATCTTATTCTCCCTAAACAGAGGTCTTAGGGGAAGAAGAGGAACCCCGGGAGAATTCATTTTCTTTGGCGGTATAGAAATGGAAACACTTCTTGTATACTAAAATAAGTTTAGGGTTGTTATGACATGAAATGCAGAATTAGTGTATGAGTTGATCACTGAACACTCAACTTGAAAAAAAATGTGAAGCTGCTGCCGGCATTTCTATACTAGCAATCTCATGGGGATTTGAAGTATCCTCTGGTACTGCAGATCCTTCAGGAAAAAAAAAAAAAGAGAAGGATGCTTTAACTCAAAAGAAAGTAAGGGTAATAGAGAGCAGCTCAGGTAGATTGATGCTGATGGGACAACAAGACTAACAGAACTCCCAAGAGCAATGTCCACCATTTAGCCTCCACAGTGATTTGGCTTCTGGATGTAAGGCTCCATTGGCAGGTCCAATACATTTAGAAAGTGACATGGACTCATGCAAAGCCACAGAGATCATTATAGAAATTCTGAATTTAAAATGAGTGATGATTAGTGAATATTTAAAAAACAAACATTAAGCATTCCTTATTAAATCTTTCCAGCTGCATTAACTTATAATTAAAATACATTATCTAGAAATCAGGAAATAACTGATGCAATTTAGATTGCAAATTGGGCTGCCATGCACTGCTGTGGTGATGTATTTCCACAATTTTGATTACTACTAATAAATTTACTACTGACAAGAAATATTGTCACAACACTAAACAGCAGCTAACATTTATTGAACACTTAATATACTAAACATAAACCAATTCACACACATCTCATTATATCCTAACCATAAAATAGGGTAGAATTCTACACGTAAATTATCTTTTAGTTATATATCTTATAATCCATCAAAAGCTGTTTAGGATTTCTGTGACTTCCATTTTTACCAAGAAATGCAGTCCTCCTCCCACCACCACTGAAAATGGTTTTGGCTACAAATCTGGCAGAATTATTCACAAAAGACATCCCTGGCTCCTTCACAACCACTTTTCCCATGAACCGCACTGTCCCTTGTGATATTAGTACACAAAAGAGCAGGAGAATATCATAACTAGTGTTCTCATCACGTGTAAAGGAAATGAGTGGGTTGTTTCAGAGCACAACACAAATATTTAAAGCAGCTAATTGGGACTCTGGGAATAGTAAAACCCTCACATATACAAAACT